GAGAGAGAGAGAGTTCTTCTTCTTCCTCTTCTAAGTCCACCATCTCTTCTCACCCTCTCGCCACCTGACTTCTCATACTACGACAGAGAGAGAAAGAGTTGTGACTTGGGACTTGACGACATTGGATCCAGACTTGACATTTGGGATTCAGACATTTCGACGAGGGACTATTTGGTCCTGTGCCGAAGACTTGGTGTTCACGACATTCCCATCTTCCCCTCCTCTTCGTCTAACCCCTCCTTCTTCGTCTGTGTATGGTTGGGGCTGGCGCAGTCTTCCTGTGTGAAGCGCTAGACCCCCTTCACACAAGATAACGATGATGATGATGTATGTTCAAGGCTGCATTGCAATATTGATTGTTCGGATCATTGGTATCTAAGTCTTCGGCTGTGTTATCTTGTACTTTGTATTGAGAGGTTGGTTCTTGTTCTGGTCTACACGTTACAGTATGCAACAGAGTGCTCTACACCACAGCAAATTCTGTTGACCATGCACTCTGATTACTCACCTGTTTAAAGTTTTCACAGCCAGTGCCATCCCCGATAGCCGGACCAGCCTGACATTCAGACTGCAAATCATCCCGAACCAATTGGGTAAGGCACTCGGAGATCATTTCCTCATTCCACGGAATCCACACCCTGTTCTTTTTACCTTGGACTTCAGGACATCTTGAATGCCAAATCCGAACTCCCACTTCGCGTCCCATAACTATCATTCTGACCCATCCTGACCCCTATGAGATAGTCAACCCATGGGTTAGAAAAAAAAAATGGAAAAAAAAAAATAAAAAGAAAAGAAAAGAGACGCAGGACCCTGTAGGCTCTAGGGCTCATCTCCCGTCCCTGAAGTTGGTAAGTGGTGCGTGATTGCCAGCCGTAAAGAGAAATCATTGCGAATCAGCCCATATGGGGAGTCCTCTGGAGAGAGGAGAGAGCCACATAAGCCAGCCAATGGCTCTATCCTAAGCAGCCCGAGGGAGATAGGTGTCCGGGTGTCCCCCTTTCTGACCAAAAGGTTCCCCAGTTTCAGCCTGAGGTGATGGCCCTTGGGGGGGGGGGGGGGGGAGGAGAGGGGGGGAAGCGGGTAAAACCAGACTCGTTTCCTCCTCTTCACCTTCTCTGAGCAGCTCCTCCTCCTCCTGAGTTTGGGCGGTTCAGATCAATCACCTTGTCCTCTTGTGCATCCTCCGGCCTTTCTATCCCCACCTCTGCCCCCAACACTCGTTCTTCTTCCTCCTCCTCCTCCTCCTCCTCCTCCTCCTTACCTTGTTTCCGCTCCTCTTCCTCTGTCCACAGAAGCGCACCCTGCTCCCTCAGGGCTTCTGTCATTTCCTCCCTCTTCCTGACCTTATCTGCCGTTTTATGGGAACAGTTTTTCCTGCAGAGGCCAGCCACACTAAGGCGCAGATCACTTCTCACTATGAATAGAATCCTCTGGACTAGGACAGGACAAGTCAACGGGACTGGGGCAGCTATGATCAGTCTCAGTTGTCCACTGGCAAGGAGGCGCTGGTGTATGTGTCCACTCACCTCCTTCCAGCCCAATTTCCCCATGGTAGCCCTCTGTTGTTCATGTAAACCCTTCGCAAATGAAGGTTCACCTCTTCTCTCTCTCTCTCTCTGTGTGTGTGTGTGTGTGTGTGTGTGTGTGTGTGTGTGTGTGTGTGTTAGTCAACATCCCCAAAACAAATATATGTTTTTTTTCAATCTATAAAAACAAAGGTAAAGGGCAGAAGGCAACATACCTATCACAGAATGCTCCACCAACAAGAAAGAACCGACCAGTGTGTGTGTATGTGTGCGCATGTCCCTGCGAACATGTGCATGTGAGTGTTCTGGATCACGCAAATGGACACTCACATTGACTTGGAGGGGTCGGCAGGGATGGGACGGGGCAGTAAGGTGTCACTGTTTGGGTTGGCAGTTTACAGGGGGTGGGGTGAAAGGTGACTGTGGCTACAGTCATGACGGGGGTGGCAGTGGGGAATGCGGAAACGCGCTTGGGGCGGGCAGTGGGCGGGGGGGGGGGGGTGTTGTAGAAGCTTGGTTAGCTGGGCAGTTATCCGGGACTAGAATGAAATTTGTTAATTTGTTGGTTTGTAGTTTACTTGGAAGTGATGTGTCGGCAATCTCTCCCACCGTCTTTCTGTTGAACGCCAGGATTGCCATTTGAGGTCCTTGCGATTGCTGTGTAGGCTACATAGCCTTCTGTTTTTATGAATCCATGTTGATGAAGAGTTGTGAATAATGTCCTTCTTTTCTGGCCATATCTGGTTCTTTTCGAAGCATTGCTTGCAGACCTTTCCAAGCATCCTCTCTCAACTTCAAAGAAATAGCCATGTTCCAATATTTTCTCAACTTCATAGCCTTATTCATAGAGGGTGGAATCATAGATGGCCTATTTGGAAAATTATCACTTTCTACATAAGGTAGCAGCTTAGACGCATGAAAGACAGGGTATGTCCTGAGGTGTGGAGGTATATATATACGATAGGAAGGTTCATCTTCACCTCCAATTACTTTGAGAACTTCTCTGGGGCCATAGTAGATAGCTAACAGTTTTTGAGACACATTTTCGTCTAAGGAAAACTCTTTAGACTTAACCCAAACAAAATTCCCTTCTTGGAATTGTGAAGGACGACGATGTTTATTAGCTTGTTCAATCATTGGCAACTGGGTTTTCTATATGTTTTCCTTCACCTTTTTAATGTCTTCTTCATATGGAACTACGAATTCACGTGTACCTGAGGATAGTATTTGAACCTGGTCCCGTGTTAATGCATCAGTGAGACGCCTAGGCTTCCATCCTTTATGCAACGCGTTAAGCGTTCTTCGTGTAACAGTATGTATGCTATTATTGTAGGCACTATCAATATTAGGTAAGTTCTCATCCCAATCGATTTGGTCAGGTCAGACATATATTCACAAAAGTTGTTGGCAAGGACGATTCATTTGCTCAGTTTGACCATTCGTTTCAAGATGTCTGCCTGACAACATGGTCAACCTGGTTCCATAGACTTCCATCAACTTTTGCCACTGTAGACTGGTGAATCGAACATCTCTATCTGATACGATTGTTTTGGGAAATTCATACTCAGAGACCCATCGCATTTGAAACTTTTGGATGACAAGTTCGATTATAGCTTAAACAGGCAAAGGAATGAACATAGCATACTTAGAGAATCAATCGACGATGACCATTACCTAATTGTTGTCGTTTCGACTCTTAGTGAGATTCATAAAGTCAATAGAGATAAACTCACATGGCTCACTTGGAATTGGCAGTGGTCGCAATATTCCCATCTGATTCTCATGTGAGAGTTTGTTCCTCTGACAGACAAGACAAGTCCGCACATACATTAATACATCTTCCTTCATTCCTTTCTACTCAAAACATTCACGCACATCGACATACGTCTTCTTAAAACCAAAGTGACCTTCTGCATCATGGCATTCCCTAATGATTAAACTCTTGATTGTCTAGGTGAGGAACACACAATCGTTCGTCGGTTTTATCAAGCAAGACGAGTAAGCCATCAGTCATTCGATATTCCGTAAACAACTCAGGGTTCTTTCGTAGAGTTTCAATGATAGGACTCCAAATAGGATCACTCTCATAACCTTAGCGGATTTGTTCTTTCAGTTCATTTCCGATATGAAGATAAGAGACAATGGTTCCAAAGAAATTTGCACGTCTCAACAAAGCATCTGCAACCACGTTAGACTTACCTTTGATGGTTTTCACCTTAAAGTCAAATGTGTCAAGGAAAGCGGACCACCTTACCAACTTGTCGGAGAGCTTAGGCTAAGTCTTGATCCACTTCAAAGTAGAGTGATCAGAGTAGACAGTGAAATGTCTCCCTAACAAGTAGTGTTTTCAGGTATCTAGTACAGCAACTAAGGCGTACAATTCTCTTTCATAGGTGGAGTTGGCCATTTTCTCTGACGGAAGTCTTCTGGACATAAACTCAATGAGTCTATATCCCTTACCGTTATCCTGTTGTAGCACAACCCCAATCCCATACTGACTTGCGTCAGTCGTAACGATGAAAGGAAGAGAAGGATATGCAATCTTTAGGACAGGGTAGTGAGTCAGAGCATGTTTTAACGTTCTAAATGATGACTCACAATCTTTATCCCACAACCAAGGCTTTTCCTTTTTCAGTAATCTTCTCATAGGTGCAGCTTTCAAGGAGAAGTTTCTGACACACTTCCTGTAGTAACTAGGAAAAATTTTAGTTCAGTTAAAGTCTTAGGTTGTGGTCAATCTCTGATTGTTGTAATCTTCTTTTCTTCAGGCCTTAGTCCTTCCTCGTTCACTATATGTCCTAAGTACAAGACTTCAGACTTAGCAAACTCGGACTTCTTCGGATTCAGTTTGAAGTTGCCCTCGCGTAACTTTTGTAAGATCATTCATAAGTGTTTCTCGTGATCTTT